AAAGTGTTATTCCTACTGACCGTAAATTTAAACACGAGAGAAACTCCGTCATCACATATGCTTACTTCATGATGATAGATCATTGCAATTTGTTTGACTGAAGCAGTACATAATCAGTATTTCGAGAATCCCCGGCACGTTTCGCTTAGACCTCGTATTCAGTTGACTTAAAACTCAAAGGGTTGGCTTCAACCGACTCTCCCGTGTGGGCTGTGTAAAACGCAAATACGCTCATGTTTAAGGCGGTGTTCGATCAGAGCTGATGAGGAATTACAGTACGGATTACTATTCGGAAATGATCAGCTGAATAATTTTGTGATAGACAATTATTGAAAAGTTACCAGAACGATGGGCAAATTTTGTCATTTAACGCATGAAAGTATAAGTTTAGCATCATAGTATCAAGACGATAAATGTTTGTAAGAAAACGTTTAAAAAGCTGATGAGGTAGTCAGCAAAGGATGAATTGATAATGCGGTTTGATTTGTAAACCTCGCAAGGTGTACGGGTTGGCTAAAGGCACAAATGGACGAGTTGAATATAGTCAGAGAAACCGGAATAAACTGTGGGAAATGTTTGCTATTTGATGTATACGAATTTTTTGTGTTTACGGCGTCTAAACAAATTTAATAGAAAAAATAAATGTGATTAATGTTCCTCAAATCACAAGGAAATTTACTATCAGTGCCGAAAAGCAGTAGATCAATCATTCTACTGCAACTAATAATTCTCGCGCTGAGAATAAATTGTATTGCATATTTCGTAATCCACGTAAAACCGTAGCAAGCAACTAGTCCCAGTTCGCATAGACCCGTTGATGACATTCGTCGACAAATCGCACCGATTTAAACGGCAACCAATCTATTTCCCAATTCAGTCATGGAAAAAATCAAATGTATGAAGTTGGTACCGCTGAAATGCAAATTCGATATTTTGCCGCAAATTGTATTCCTGGCTGTCCTGGCATGTTCGTTTGGAACTGCAAAGTGTGTATGTGCGCGCGCACGCGGTCACTGTTTGGGAGCATCTGAGGAACATCAATTTGACCAACGTTTTCGATTATATCATTCGTATTAAATATTTGATTTGAATTATTTTCGTGACGTGGTAACATCAAGGGTTACGGGGAAAGATGATATACTGATGAAGTTAATGAATAGGGCTACACATTTAACTGATTTATGATATGCGAATAAATTTTGCGAGACAGTTTTATGCACAATAAGCTATAAATTTCAGAGTAATGTAGGGAAAACGTTGACAGATGTGCTAGTTTGCAGTGTGCCGATCCTAGGAGTCTATCAGAATCATATCGGTCGGGATCTCCTCATTTCACTTTCCAGCCTACACATCCGACCCTTCTTTTTTTCTATTTTCAAGTGGCGGCGGATCGGCTGCAGTCCCTGATTTCCCCAAAGTTAATCGTACAAATGTACTCAAAACAGTATCGAAAAGATTATGATTATTATTGAAAAAAGGAACACGATATAATGGTTGTGAAAGTTGAAATGAGCTGATGTGTAGTTAAGATACTGCTTCTATCATTCGAGAACTCGGAGGGAAAATCTCCTCGCTTTTCAGAGATGTCAGCATCCATTGGAAAGGGATGTTTTCACACGATCTAACCTTGTTGTTTGCTAACCTACGTAAGGCAGAAACGGTCAACGGCACATGTAAGTCTATCACTTTCCTATTGTAAATCTGGGGAAATCAAATTGGTGAGAAGGAACTCCTTTGTACCGGTCACTTACGGGTAAAACAGAATAAAATTGACTGATAAAAGTGACTTGTGATGTGCATTTGCGGGTTGATTGCACAACATTGTTTACAGTTAAATTAGGTTATTGTTGAAGGTCATAGTTTCGGAATACACGGTGTGTTTGTTTGAACGATCCGTAGTGCTTCGTGTTTCCTCGATCGCTGTTTGTCGTGATGAGGTAACAAAACAGAGAACTCATTTGTAAGATCTAACTTATGATAGTGTTCCACTATATAGTTTGCAGTGACCGAGGTTGGTCTGAAGGTGTAGCTGGGACATGTGGGGTAACCAAGTCTGTTAATCACCTGCCTGCACTATATAAAAGTAACTAGCTGACCTAATTTATTTTAAATTGGTCACTTTTATCTAATGATGAGAACATGTGAAAGAAATTCCTCTCCTAGTGTTTTTTATTCGAACTTGTTTGTTCGAATTCATCAGGGGAAATAAAAGTTTTATATCAATCAGTGGAAGACGCTTAATATAAACATGGTTATTCACTGCCACCGCATTGCTTCATTGCCAAAATATGTATTATTCAAGATCTCACCTCCCTGTAGTTTGTAGTGATTAATAGTTCTTTGGCGGAATCGGATATCAAAACATACGCACAGTATTTAGCCATTTTAATTATCATGACCGGTACGTTGACGATGTTTCCATGTTACATTTTCTAACAGAAAGATTATCTCACTTCACTTCGGCTCATTCTGAAAACAGCATCATTTACCGTTCTTGCATTTTATCAAAGTTTACCTATCGAATGGATCCATCCATAGAAAATTTTACTCATATGTCCCGTTCATTAGCCGAAACACAAAAAATCATGGCTTCTTGCAAACTGCTGACAGATGAAATCTAGTGCCCTACTGCATATGAAAGATGAAGGTGTCTTTTTTTCGAAGACACGATGGAGACAGAGTTGAAGATCGTATTAGAAAGATATCGCACGACAAGGCAATATCTATCGTTACACATTGGTTACACTGCTTATTAGATTCCTGTTTTAGAAAGATTCAGGAACAGAACAGATCATTCGAGTCGGTCGTGTCATATTTGAAGCAACCCACAACGCCACCATAATTCGATGCAGATCCGTGATGACCACCTCCATTTGGTGTCAGAAAGAGGATAATATGCATGATCTGATCTCTTCTATGATTGTCTATCAGTTAATGTGGATCTTTCGAGCTTCTAACGAGGGTCTGAAAAATAGGAGTTATTCAAAAGCAACGAAAAATATTATCCATGCTAAACGAAACAATCAGAGAATCTCTTCACTTCTTGCCAATGTGGTAGAGACAGGGCACCCAGAAGGCACTGATTCAGCAATTATCGTTAATCTTTACCGTTCAGTTCAGT